AGGGGAGGGAAGGCGTATAGTGGAGGGGGAGGAGAGGTTTGATGCGGTGGGCGCGAGGGTTTTATATGGTGGTAGCGAGGGAGCGCGGGATTGTGCAAGGCCCGGAGGTGGTGGGGTTTTCCTTGAATGCAGGCAAATGGTGATTAGGAGGGGAGAGGGGGAGTGGAGGGGGGGAGAGGGAGGGTGAGGGTTGTTGAGCAAAAGCGATGCGGCGAGGGTTTGTGATTCACCTCCCAGGTGCCATGTTCAGGCAGCACCGAGCTTGGGCAGGCTTGGCATGTACGGTCTGGCTCGTCCCACTCACTTCCGCCGGAGACGAACATCCATCTTCATGGTGAGCACAGTCGTCGAGATGCATCCTTCTCCAACGGATGGCCACTATTGGAATGCATGTCATTATGCGGAGTCCAGCTTGATATCAGCAAGAGGTGCATGATGTCGCCATTGATCATGGACGACGCCGCCGCCGCAGCCTGTCCGCAGGCCAGCTGAAGACTACCCGCGGTAGAGTACTTGTGTCGTTGTCATCGTCATCCTTTGTGGATGGACTGCGCAGGTGGAGTCGGTAGGTGCCTACTATGTAACTACTACTGCCAACAAACGTGGCAGTGGGTATGGAATGGATCACAGATCTGGGAAGGGATGCAGGGGCACGTGGTAGGAGATGCACGACATTTGATTGTGTATGGTTGTGTATGTATGTAGTAGTCGAATGCTTGGTCAAATCGCAGATTCACTCGAAGGGTTGTTTCCTGCAAGATGTAGTGAGGGGGAGGTCAAGTTCACAGGACACAGCCAAGAAGGGTTGAGAAAGGTGCATGTTTGGCACTACCTAGCTAGCTGCCAGCCATGTGAGGGCTTGGGTGCGGTGTAGTCGTGAGATGATGATGTGCGAGTGGGGGGAGGGTACGTACCGACCCAGTCTCAGAACAGCACATGTCTTGAGCCAGGTGTCATCCTGCAGATAACGTGGCAGACAGAGCTGCGGCGCCCAGCCTGGCAGAGTGTGGGTGGTGGTGATGGATAGAGTGGTGGGCAGCATTGGCGGTGCCAAAGGGCTTGTTTCGTCTCATTGCGGGCAGTCTGGATCCATGCCAAGCGTGATGATGGTACCGGTAGTATGTTGTCTGCGGTCCTATGCGCAAACACAGAGAGAAGGCATGGTAGGCAAGCTGCTCGAGCGGTAGTATTGTATTGCCATGGTTGTGTTGTACGGTCCTGGGTACTTGTAGATACTACTAGATACTGCCGGTGGTATACGACACTGCAGGACTTGTGTACTAAATAGGTATACCCCTACCTACCCGTACCTATCTATAGCTTGTACAATCCATACAAGGAACCACGACCAAGAAATAGACTCGCTAGGCACATTGTCCACTGAAAGAAGGTTAGCCAACTGCCAGGAACAAGTTCCGGCACGCGGTAACCCTATTGCTGCTGCTGCTGCTGCTGCTGCTGCTGCCCTCGCCATTGACCCTTTTCCCCAGAGCGCGACACAGTTGGTTTGGTAGACGTGCACATGGGAGCATCTCTTCTTGTCCTTGTCCTTCACCTTCACCTTCACCATCACCTTCGCCATCCTCTCCAT